GGCGTATCCAAACGCCAGGTGTACCAGAAAATGTATGCCAGAGATAAGCGTTGTAAATATTAAATAACGGACCGAGTTTTGTATGCAAATCGTAATTAACTCGGGTGAATCCCATGCAGGCATATATTTATTGAGATGCCATTGCCTTCTTTGTGTAGCTAAGTCGAGGTCTAGCGGTATCTCACCCGGTAGGGAATGCGTTATGCTCAACAATACTCACGGGCGCACTGGCTTCATCAGTTTGTAATTACTAGAGAGCCCACATCTTTTCAGATGACGTGTTCCCTATTTTGAACATGTTAAAGTATTACATTTTAATTATAGATATTTAATAACGGTGTTGCTATGGCTACTAAACCCAATAGGGAAGCGTAACGCTGGGGTCCACTTTCATTAACTCCTTTTCCAATTCATTTAGCAATACTCTATGAGAAGGTATCAATTCAGCCGTTTTATGTATTGCCCCCCAATAGCCCACATGTATGTCCGCCAACCTATCCATCACACCATTCAGGTATACCTGCCGTACGGCCCGTATGAATGCCATCCTTTCCCCTTCGGTCATACATTTGAAGTCTTTGCGGACATATAGTCGACGACAGGGAGTAATGTTTGGCTTAATAAAAGCTTCGGTCATATATTTGCGTTGAATCCAATCCCTGACTCTATCCAACTCCTGGTTTGTAAAGTTGGTCCGATGTGTGCATCCCTTGGTTATGGTTTGCTCGCATTGGCTATCAGTTTGTCCTGTTGTTGATATCAACATGATCATTTAATATTTTGTAAAATATAAAATAAATACCACTTGTTTGATTTATTAAATGAAAACATAATAGTAATATGCATGTTATAAAAGGACCTAATTTTATAAAAAACATTTTATATAATAAGCTAATAAAATATACATTGTTTAGAAAAATGAAGTTACATGATAATTACAAAATAATTAAATTGCAGTTTATTACATGCATTTTTGCAACTAATTACTTAATGGTTTAAAAACAAATGGTTTTATAATTATTTACTTTTAATAGATATAAATTACTGTCCATTGAGTTCAGAGCAATTAAAAACATTTTCCATCTCCAACTAGAATAAATGTTTAAACAGAAATTTATCAACTAAACCATATTTGCAACATGTTAACAATAATTAACAATGTCAAAATACTGAGAATTAAATACCAATATTAGTGCAAGTTGTAACATAACTATAATAAGTGTAAAAAACACTTTAATATTATTTAAACTATTTCAATAACAGTGTTTTGCAAAACAAACATTAAATAAATTAATAAAACAAGTAGATTTAAAAAGAACTTTATACAATTTTTAACAAATATAAAACTATTTTACCTGTATTATAAAGTATGATAAAGATATAAAAATACATAATTTGGATGGATATATATAAATCAATGAATTTATTTTATTGCATTGCTAATTGTATCAAAATTTACATTAATTATAGTGATAACAAAAATATTACAAATTATTTTCTACTTTATTCATACAATTAAAATCTAAATGTTGTTTATTTAAATAAAAATAATTAATATATGTTTTAAATCAGTATTAAATTATAATATTCTAAATTAAATATCAGGTCTAATATACAACTGTAGAAGTTATGGAACGTTAGTAACATAGGGCGAACAATATGTAGACTTATTTAACCCGGCCATTAATGTTTGCCAGTATGACTGAGCAGCGTATACGAAAGGCAACAAATTAATATTCTCGTCGTAAAAGTATCGCCGCATTTGTCTCAACCCATTCTCAGTGTCCGCATAGCCCTGAAAGAGAGGCATCGGTCGGCACTCGGCGTTACAGTCGCCCACATCTGGCATATAGTAGTCAAACACCGAATAGTTTCCCGAATAAAACTTCGGATAATACGTGCGTTGAATATCGCGGGGCATTCGCTGTATGGCCGCCGGCACCGGGGGTTTCACGTTGTTTATAACGTTAAGCACGTCTTCGGCGATCACATCCGTTACGTAACAGTAGTTCCCGAACCCAATCCACGCCACGTCCAAAACTCTGACGTCACTGAAGTAAGTGACTCTATCCGTCTGAATGTGAGCGCTATATATAAGACCCGTCATTTGATCCACTTTTATGAATTGATTGTATGACTCGGGAATCAGGAATTTTTGTTGGCCAAGTTGGATTTTGGCCGCAAAAACGTCGGTCAAATAGCAATGAAATAAATAAAATAATATGCTAAAAATAAAACACATCCATTTCTAGTTAATATTTGTTCAAAGGTATATTGGTAAATTAAATTAAAATTATTAATTGTTTACTCATAGGGAGCGGTGGCTAAGCTCATGTCAGCGGCGTAGCCAAACGCTAAATGGACGTAAAAGTGAAAGCCCACCAATTGTAGGGACAATATTATGTATGAGTCGGCGTTTTGTATTAATGACGTATCGATTTCGGGTGCTTCCCAGGCAGGCATATACTTATCGAGATGCCATTGCCTTCTCATACATCGGTTTATATCCAGGAACCCATAGAGTGGGCCATCCCTTACGCAATACGAGTTGTTATGAGTGCCCGCGTGACCGAAGTAGTCAAATATCAGTGATTTATGGGGCGTTGCAAAGTCTACCGGTGTTCCCTGTTTTTTAACATGTTATATCAACATAAACTTTACAATTAGTTAAAACATATAAAATTATGTAATATAATAATTATTAATATAAATGTCTATTAAACCCAATAGGGAAGTGTAACGCTGGGGTCTATTTTCATTAACTCCTTTTCCAATTCATTTCCCAATTGTCTGTGAAAGGGCACAAAATCGGCGGTTTTATGACCGGCCGGCCAATAGCCGTAGTGTATGTCCGCCAACCTATCCATCACACCATTCAGGTACAGCCGGCGTACGGCCCGTATGAATGCCATCCTTTCCCCTTCGGTCATACATTTAAAATCTTTGCGGATATATAGACGACGACAAGGAGTGGTGTCGGGCTTTATATAAGCTTCGGTCATAAATTTTTGTTGAATCCAATCCCTGACTCTATCCAACTCTTGGTTTGTAAAATTGGTCCGATGTGTACATCCATGGGTTATGGTTTGCTCGCATTGGCTAACAGTCAGTCCTGTGTTATATAAAATGGTCATTTTAGTAAACAAGTATAACATTGTATAAATACCTTTTGTTTGATTTATTAGATATAAAATTACTACGAATAGATTTAATTTAATTAAAATCATATTATGTATTAAAATAACATTTATGCAATAATTAAGTTATAGTGTATAACATTAAGTACAAAATTTTTATATACATTTAATGATTTAACCAGATGGATTTAAACTTAAATTTTAAAATTATATGTTTATAAAAGAAATTAATAGTTTACTTCTAGGTTCAAGGCAATTAAAAATACTACAGTACATAGCTTAAATTAATGTGTTTATAAACCAAATTGTATATTTTATCATTTAAAAATTAAGTAACAAGGTAATAAAATTGGGAAATAAATATATAAATAAATATCAAAATATTGTTAAATTAAACTTAAAATTATGAAACTTATCTACAAAATTACATCTTACTAACAAGAAAGATAGTAGAACAAGTAAATATATTATCAAGATAAGTTGCAAAATAATCTAAAATTATTTATATCATGTTTAGACTATAAGTTCAAAATTCATAAAAATTACTTCAGTATTAAGTTCATAAACATTAAAAATAAACAGTTTAATAAAATCACTTTATTTAAAAGGTGATGACAGATTTGTTACATAAGGTGAACAATAGGTAGATTTATTTAACTCATTCATAAAATTTTGCCAATACGCCTGAGCAAGGTAAACAAAAGGCAATTCGTTAATATTCTCGTCGTAATAAAATCGCCGCATTTGTCTCAACCCATTCTCAGTGTCCGCATAGCCCTGAAAGAGAGGCATCGGTCGGCACTCGGCGTTACAGTCGCCCACATCTGGCATATAGTAGTCAAACACTGAATAGTTTCCCGAATAAAACTTTGGATAATACGTGCGTTGAATATCGCGGGGCATTCGCTGTATGGCCGCCGGCACCGGGGGTTTCACGTTGTCTATAGTGTTGAGCACATCTTCGGCGATGGCATCGGTTACGTAACAATAGTTCCCAAACCCTATCGATAACATATCCAAAACCCTGACGTCATTGAAGTACGTGACTCTATCCGTCTGAAGGCGGCCTTTGTATACAAGACCTGTCATTTGATCGACTTTTATAAAGTTATTGTACGATTCGGGGGCCAAAAATTGTGGCTGACCAAGCTGAACTTTAGCCGCAAACGCCTCGGTTAAAAAGCAATGAAATAAGTAAAATAAGATGCTAAAAGTAAAATACCAATATATCTGTTTTAGTTAAAACAGTAAGTATTTTGCAAACATATAGTTAGTTAACTCATAGGGAGCGTCAGTGACGCTCATTGTAGAGCCGTATCCAAAGGCCAGGTGTACCAGAAAGTGATAGCCTGTAAACGATTGCGATAACATTCCGTATGTGCGGGCGTTTTGTATTAATACTGTATTGATTTCGGGTGAATCCCAGGCAGGCATATACTTATCGAGATGCCATTGCCTTCTCACACACCGATTCAGCTCCAGATCCCCATAGAGTGGGCCATCCCTTACGCAATACGAGTTGTTATGAGTGCCCGCGTGACCGAAGTAGTCAAATATCAGTGATTTTTCAGGTGTAGCAAAGTCTACGGATGTTTCCTATTTTTCAACGTGTTAAATACGATTAGATATCTGATATAGATAACATATTGTTTGTGTTATAATATTACAAAACATTATAATTTTATAATAATTTGTATGTATAAACCCAATAGGGAAGTGTAACGCTGGGGTCTACTTTTAGTAACTCCTTTTCCAATTCGTTTTGCAATACTCGATGAAAGGGCACAAAATCATCGGTTTTGTGGATCACCCAATAACCGTAGTGTATGTCCGCCAACCTATCCATCACACCATTCATATATAGCTGGCGTACGGCCCGTATGAATGCCATCCTTTCCCCTTCGGTCATGCATTTAAAGTCTTTGCGGACATATAGTCGACGACAGGGAGTGGTGTCGGGCTTTATAAAAGCTTCGGTCATATATTTATGTTGAATCCAATCCCTGACTCTATCCAACTCCTGGTCCGTAAAGTTGGTCCGATGTGTACATCCATGGGTTATGGTTTGCTCGCATTGGCTAACAGCTTGTCCTGTATTATAATTTAATGGTCAGTTTAGTTAAAAGTATATTATTCTGTATATAACCATTTATTTGATTTATTAAATATGCATTCAATAACAATAGGTTTAATACAATGAAAAACATAATATTTATGTAAAATTTATGCAATATTTGAAACAATTATACAGTCTATTATAGATTATCAACGTTATTATATTATACTTGCTAATTATAACATTGACACTAAAGCTAGTCAGCAATACAGTTTATAACAATAATAGTCAAAAAAATTCGTACAAGTTTTTCAATTGATTTAAAATTAGGTAATTACAGTATATTTAATATTTATTGAATATTGTGTATTTGGGCTCAAGGCAACTTAAAATACTTCCTAATTTAAATTGGATTAAAGCCATATTTGTTATTATGTTGCGAAATGTGTAGTTAAACAGAAGTTTTATTATCAATGTAATAAAGTGAAAATTAAATGTGTACATATGTAGAAAATGCAAATAAATTTTTAGAAAAAATATAATTTATAATTTTACTTGAATAAAATTTGTAGAAAATTTTTTCTTTCGGACATCTGGTCAGACTAGCAGTGCTTTCCCTAACGTGCGGGTCGGGCGATGCGCGGCTAACATCGGGTAATTAGTCCACAAAAGGCTTACAAAAACCATTAAACCATTTATGTTAGCCGTAAATATAAAGTTTCATACAATACCAGCATCCTAAACAATTTGGAGTAGTTTTATTGTAAATATTCAATATTGAAATAATTTGAATAAAATTCTTTATTTTGATCGTTTGATAATAAATACGGTATAAATTGACAGTTTGTATTATATTGTATAAAATATAAAACAATTAATTATGAAAATAGAAAATTTAACCAAATTAATTTATTTAACAAATTATGGTAGATTTGTTACATAGGGTGAACAATAGGTAGACTTATTTAACTCAGTCATTAATGTTTGCCAGTATGCCTGAACAATATAAACAAATGGCAAAAGATTGATATTCTCGTCGTAATAGTATCGCCGCATTTGTCTCAACCCGTTCTCAGTGTCGGCATAGCCCTGAAAGAGAGGCATTGGTCGGCACTCGGAGTTACAGTCGCCCACATCTGGCATATAGTAGTCAAACACCGAATAGTTTCCCGAATAAAACTTTGGATAATACGTGCGTTGAATATTGCGGGGCATTCGCTGTATGGCCGCCGGCACCGGGGGTTTGATGTTGTCTATAGTGTTGAGCACATCGTCCACTATCTGGTCTGTGATCGAACAGTACTCTCCAAAACCAATCCAAAACATATGAAGTACAGGTGTGTCCGTATAATAAGTGACAACGTCTGTCTGGATGTGCGAGTTGTATATAAAACCGGTCAATTGATCCACGCTTATAAACTGGTTGTACGATTCCGGTACCAGTAATCCTGGTTGTCCTAGCTGTATTTTCATCACATTCACGTCCAATAAAAAGTTGTGAAATAAGTAGAAAACTATACTGTTAAATATATTTACAGTATAATAAATTATAAATTGTTTGTAACTGTGAATATATATTATACTTATGTTAAATATTATTTCCAAGCTAATTATAAATAATTAATTAATTCAATCATCATGTTAACTCACTCATACGGAGCGGTGGCTAAGCTCATGTCAGCGGCGTATCCAAACGCCAGGTGTACCAAAAAATGTATGCCAACGCTTAAAATGGTATTTATAGAAAAACTGACCGATTTTTGTATTACTGATGTAATTATTTCGGGTGAATCCCAGGCAGGCATATACTTATTGAGATGCCATTGCCTTCTCACACACCGGTTCAGCGCCAGTGACCCATAGAGTGGGCCATCCCTTACGCAATACGAGTTGTTATGAGTGCCCGCGTGACCGAAGTAGTCAAATATTAATGAGGTCTCGGGTGTAGAAAAGTCTAGTGGAGTGCCCTTATAGATTAATTACATAATTAATAGTATTGAAAATATAACTATCATGGTCAATTAGTTTACCCAATAAGGCAGTGTAACGCTGGGGTCTATTTTCATTAACTCCTTCTCCAATTCAAGCGCTATTTTTCTATGAAAGAGAGCGAAAACAGTGGTTTTATGAGTGGCCGCCCAATAGCCGTAGTGTATGTCCGCCAACCGATCCATCACACCATTCAGGTATACCTGCCGTACGGCCCGTATGAATGCCATCCTTTCCCCTTCGGTCATACATTTGAAGTCTTTGCGGACATATAGTCGACGACAGGGAGTAATGTTTGGTTTCACAAACGCTTCGGTCATAAATTTGTTTTGCAACCAAACCCTCACTCTATCCAACTCCAGGTCCGTAAAGTTGGTCCGATGTGTGCATCCCTTAGAAATGGTTTGTTTGCATTCGTTGACTGTTTGTCCTAAATTGTAATCAATCTTTACATTAATTATAACAAAATAGAATTATAGGTATTATTAGTTTTATTTCTTATGCATACCTTTAGATGTATTTATTTGAATAAAAATAATAATCAATATTTTAAAATATGTACATGGCAGTATACTGTAACTCATATTTGATGTAATTATTTAATACAGCTCAAACGTTGTTTAAACATCTAATAAATAGATGAAAAATATTGCAAACTGGCGTTAGTCAAAACCGCCTGCCAGACAGTGTCTGGGCTCTCTCTCAATGATCTCTTCCATTGATAATCTATTCCTCTTTCAAATACACTCTCGCAATAAATAGGACTCCAGACTGTCTGTCAAAACCAACCCTACAATACAATACACAGTCACCAATACATTGCAGTTAATTTAACTCTTTAACTGAGTTTAAAGAGTACATGAATTACAAGTACATTACAAGTGCTTAATATAACTGTAAATAATTTTTGAGTTTCTAAAGTGGGCTGGGAGATTAAGGGGTACGGGAATGCCCTTGTTGTAAATACTCTAAATATAATGTACTATTTGTTTGATTTAATGACAGCTTTTTTGGCAGTCTTTGGGTTCAAAGAAATAATATTTTGTTATAAACCTAATTATTAATTATTAATACGTTTGTGTTAATTATATAAAGTTTTATAACAAGTTGTTATATTAAGTTGCAAAATAATCTAAAATTATTTATATCATATTTAGACTAACGTAAATAGAAAATTTATAAAAATTATTTACAAGTTCATAGAAATTAATAATAAATAATTTAACAAAATTATTTTATGTATCAGATTATGGTAGATTTATTACATAAGGTGAACAATAGGTAGACTTATTTAACTCGGTTATTAAATTTTTATACCACGATTGAACGATGTAAACAAATGGCAAAAGATTAATATTGTCGTCATAATAGTATCTTCGCATTTGTCTCAACCCATTCTCAGTGTCCGCATAGCCTTGAAAGACAGGCATTGGTCGGCACTCGGCGTTACAGTCGCCCACATCTGGCATATAGTAGTCAAACACCGAATAGTTTCCCGAATAAAACTTTGGATAATACGTGCGTTGAATATCGCGGGGCATTCGCTGTATGGCCGCCGGCACCGGGGGTTTGATGTTGTCTATAGTGTTGAGCACATCGTCCACTATCTGGTCTGTGATCGAACAGTACTCTCCAAAACCAATCCAAAACATATGAAGTACAGGTGTGTCCGTATAATAGGTGACAACGTCTGTCTGGATGTGCGAGTTGTATACAAAACCGGTCAATTGGTCCACTTTTATGAACTTGTTGTAAGATTCCGGTATCAGTAACCCTGGTTGCCCTAGCTGTATTCTCATCACGTTCACGTCCAATAGAAAGTTGTGAAATAAATAGAAAACTATACTGTATAAATATATACAATAAATTAGCCGCTTGTAATTAATCTCTTGTAACGTATGAATTTAAATTATATTTATTCTAAATATTTATACCAAGCTAGTTATAATTAATTTAAATGTTAAACTCACTCATATGGAGCGCTGGCTAAGCTCATATCAGCGGCGTATCCAAACGCCAGGTGTACGAGAAAATGTATGCCAACGATTAAAATTGCATGTATCAGATAACTGACCGAGTTTTGTATTAATGCTGTATTAATTTCGGGTGAATCCCACGCAGACATATACTTATTGAGATGCCATTGCCTTCTCACACACCGGTTCAGCTCCAGATCCCCATAGAGTGGGCCATCCCTTACGCAATACGAGTTGTTATGAGTGCCCGCGTGACCGAAGTAGTCAAATATCAATGAGGTCTCGGGTGTGGAAAAGTCTAGTGGAGTACCCTTTTATCAAATTGATTAATTACATAATTAATCGTAATAAAAATACAATTATCATGGTCAATTAGTTTACCCAATAAGGCAGTGTAACGCTGGGGTCTATTTTCATTAACTCTTTCTCCAATTCAAGCGCTATTTTTCTATGAAAGAGAAGAAAAACACCCGTTTTATGAGTGGCCGCCCAATAGCCCACATGTATGTCCGCCAACCTATCCATCACACCATTCAGGTATACCTGCCGTACGGCCCGTATGAATGCCATCCTTTCCCCTTCGGTCATACATTTGAAGTCTTTGCGGACATATAGTCGACGACAGGGAGTAATGTTTGGCTTCACAAACGCTTCGGTCATAAATTTGTTTTGCAACCAAACCCTCACTCTATCCAACTCCTGGTCCGTAAAGTTGGTCCGATGTGTACATCCCTTAGAAATGATTTGTTTGCATTCGTTGACTGTTTGTCCTAAATTGTAATTAATTTTTACATTAATTATAACAAACTATAACTATAGGTATTATTAGTTTTATTTCTTATGCATACCTTTATATGTATTTATTTGAATAAAAATAATAATTAATATTTTAAAATATGTACATGGCAGTATAATGCAACTCATATTTGATGTAATTATTTAATACAGTATCAAACATTGTTTAAAAGTTGTAAATAAATATAATGTACTGTATGTTTGATGTGATGACAGCTTTTTTTTGGCAGTCTTTGGGTTCAAAGAAATTAATATATTTTGTTATAAAACTAATTATTAATTAAATATATTTGTGCTAATAGTATATTAACCGCTAAACGGGTGTTTTTCTTCTCTTTCATAGAAAAATAGCGCTTGAATTGGAGAAAGAGTTAATGAAAATAGACCCCAGCGTTACACTGCCTTATTGGGTAAACTAATTGACCATGATAATTGTATTTTTTTGTGCTAATAGTATATTAACCGCTAAACATTTGGAGAGAGAGAGAGAGAGAGAGAGAGAGAGAGAGAGAGAGAGAGAGAGAGCGAAAGACTAGTAAAATTTCTATTGCAATATATTTTTGTTTGGTTTTAAAAAGTTTTTGAATCTTAATTGAGAGGTAAAATGCCATAAAATTAAAATATTTTGCACATAACATTGCAAATCAATAACTACTGGATTGATTTCAAGATATTAAATTATTAAATAGCTAATAAGTTTAACATATTAAAACACCTCGTCTGGATTGATATTGATAAATATTATTTAATAATTATCATACCCTGGGATACAATCAATAAACAAACTTACCACCAATTATTACAGATAAATTCAATAATGTTATAATTTAATATTATAAACGCTATTTAAACGTTTATTTACAACATTATCAGAGACTTAAATATAACTCTTAAGTAACATTAATTGATAATTACTTATCAATGCATTAAATACAGCGACCATAGCATTAAACGATCATAAGTGAAATGGCTTTCAATTATAAAACATTAAGCTACAATTGCGAAACAAAAAATGTATTTACAACATTTAATTTATTTAATACCATGTTTAGTGGCATTAAATTTATTGGTCGTAAATAGCGATCCATTATTTCTAACGCCGTATATAAGGGCTAACAAAACGAGTGAAGCCAAGAGTCTGAGCGCCGTAAAGGGTCTGCCAAACGCACCGACCGTCGAGTCTTACACCGGTTTTATAACCGTAAACGACAAATACGACAGCAATATATTCTTCTGGTTTATACCAGCGTTTGTGAGTATCATTCATACCAAACTATTTTATATAGATTTTAATCACAAATACAATTACAAACTAGAAAACTCCCAAAACAGCACCGGTGGTCGTATGGCTAGAGGGTGGGCCGGGTATATCATCCTTGTTCTCGTTGTTTACGTTCGGCCCGTTGTCTGTGGACCCGGCGCTCAACGTAACCAAACGTGATAACTCGTGGGCCGAAGAGGTGTCGGTGCTGTACGTGGACAACCCGGTGGGTGCCGGGTATAGTTTTACTAAAAACAAGCTAGGTTATTCGCGGGACGAAAACAATGTGGCCGACAATCTCTACGAGTTTTTACAACAGTTTTACATAGTGTTTGACGACTACAGAGCTAATGAGCTATACATCGCTGGCCAATCATATGGTGGTAAATACGTGCCGGCGCTCGGCTACAGGCTTATGGTGAGCGCCGGTGTTTCCCGACTGAACTTTAGGGGTATAGCCGTCGGCAACGGACTCATCGATCCGATCCATCAAATGAATTACGCGAATGTATTCAAGACTATGGGATTAATGGATGAGTTGGAGGCACAGGAAGTGCACAGACGGGAGACCGCCATCAGGACAGCCATCACAGCCAAAGACTATCTGAAGGCATTGCAATTGTATTCAGACTTAAGTAAGATATGATTTATATTAATGTACATTTTGGCATAACTTATCATTTTAATATTTTATATTTGATGAATGTAAATATAATAAGTGGTGTCAACACCGGAGTTGGTGGGCTACGCCACTACCACCACTGGTTACGCTCAGTTTTATGACCTTTATCAATCGGGTCCGCTATACAAATCAATAGTCAATACAATCAAATACCTATCAAAGACCCAAACCCGGTCTGCCATACATGTGGGCCCTCTTGAGTACAACTTTTCCAACAAAACTACCGGCGATTATCTGCACAACGATTTCATGCAATCCATTGAACCCAATCTGACGGCCATTATTGACGGCAAATACAAAGTGCTGTTATTTACCGGCAATTTTGATCTTACGGTTGGCGTCGACTCTATTAATGGTTTACTTGAATGGAAAGGTATTTATAATTAAATTAATTGTTTAACAAACAGTTGTCATAATATTTATGTTACAACATAGACTGGAAGTATTATAAGGACTACAGTTTGGGTAAGCGTTTCATATGGAAAGTGTCGCCAAATGATACACAAATAGCCGGTTATGCCAAAGGGTTTGGCAATTTTAACCACGTTATTGTACGCGATGCTGGCCATTGTGCTCAGTGCGATCAGCCCAAGGCTACTCTCGATATGATTACCCGGTTTATTGGCTCAAAACCATTTGGATTATAATGACTTTATTATATGGAAAATTTGTGTAACCTTTTCAATATCAATATTAATAATATAAAAATTTAATTATTCTTTTCAAAAAATGTAATAATTATAATAATATAGTATTAGAATGAAATTAAAAGTATAAATTAATCTTTAATTTTTGATAAAACATAATTAAATATATGATCAAGATTTTAGATAGATCGTGTATTTTTGCAATATTAATAATAAGAAAGAATTTAATTATTTTTAATTAGTTTTCGAGATCCATGTATGTAATAAATATAATAACGCACTAAAATCAGAAATATAACAAAGTATTTTATTTGTGATACATTGTAACTAATTATGAAACTAATTTAATACATTCTAACAAAATAATAAACCTCGCCCATGATGTTAATTAAAAATATTATTTCACTATATTACATTTACATGTAATGTTTTTGTCTAATAAATAATATATAAGTAATTAGTAAAAATGTAATTTTATTAATATTAGATGAAATAATATTAAGTTACTTTAAGTGTATTATATATTAGATAAATTATGATTGATTTAAAACATTTACATTACCTTGATTTTTAGTATAATTAAATACATTTTTATTATCGTAATAAATAAACAAGTGTTTTTGATACAAATGTAATGATCCACTTCTAATGAATCATTAGTAATGATAATCTATATAAAACAATGTTTCAAATACTATATTTATATTCATACAGTATTATATTATAAGATCTTATCATATTTATATATGATTAAGCAATATGTTATACCAATTTCTTTAACATAATCAGCTAAAATTTTTTGCTATCTAAACATATTGGTAACATATCTCACCATGCTATATTTAGTTTCAATTATTTAGCCAAAAATTATAATTTATTATATTTTAAACCTACAGTATATTACTAATGCTTAATATGTATAATAATATTATAAGCTAATGGCTGCCTTGAAACATCTCTTTAATAATAAAACTAACCTCGTTAATGCCATCGAAACATAACCAAAGTACAATATTTTACAATTGATCTATATTATCATTATTATATGTATCTTTATTTAATATATTTATGATTATTTAGGATCACAGTTATTGTAAATGATTGGTAAAAAGTACTAAATTTTTTAAACTAACCAAAAACTGTAGTATTTTCCATATATATTGAAATATTTCTGTTTATAAAATATTATTATTATTGATAAAAATGGCCTCATTAGCCCTGTTAAAGCCAGTAATTAAATTATTTAACATGCTCAATTTGGGTGGGCATTTCAAGTGTACCAGAGCTGATCCGGCGGTGACTACTGAGACAAATGTGACAATTGTCTCATTCCATACATACCATCAAAATCCAGCAAAAGTATCAAAACATTTTATAAAATGTTTCAATAATTTTTACATCTATTATCTCAATGCAGGTAACTTTGAGTCTAATAATGCAGTCTATACTCGAATACTTGTACTGCAAACTGAATGCCAGGATATTATTTAAAATAATGAACACGAGATTGGATGAAAACAATGTGAATGCTTAAAAATTTGTATTAAAATTTTATGCTAATTAATTAGTTAATTAAATATTTTATAGACAGACAAAAATATATTGACTTTACCGACGTTTCTATACTTTATTGACTCGCAATCCATGGATCAGATTATTGGGAGCGAAGTCTTTCAGATGACATTTCTTACGGCAAAGACACTGAATATGAAAAACTTATTTCTCTCATTCGTCACACTATTTGATTATATGGTATAAACATTTTAATTGCATTATATATTTTGGTTATCATGGTTAATACAATATCCATCTTATTGTCATAGGTGTGGATAACATTATTTGTCTCAATGATAGTTAACGCTTATTTTATTTCAAAACTATTACGAAAAATGACATTTACTATAGCTTTAGGCAATTTATACCGAAATATATTATTTCAGCCCTCAATGTTTAGGCGAAATAAATCGCAACTGATTTCACTATATCTGGCCATATGGCTACTAAGTAGCCAGGTAATTTCCTACGCCCTATCGGGGCAATTATTGAGCATTTACTGCAGACCACAGAATAGGCCATTAATCAATTCAATCGACGATATAGTAGCTAATAGTAAAATAAAAGTGTTAATATTAGACACAAACAAAATGAAATTTAAATCGTTATTACCCACAAAATATAATTTGTTGGAAAAACGATTTAAAAAGTTTGATATGTCTCAAATACTCAATGGGAACGGGATATTTCATAAATTAAATCAACGCATAACTCGGGAACCGGTAGTCTATGCCTCGGATGAGAACAGCAATCGGGGGCTCATAAGTCTTACTCCAAGTCTACCCCTCGTTATCGCAAAACACAAGTATGCGCTCACTTTTCTAGCGCATGGAATCTCAAAATCACACCCTTTTTTGCTACAAATGACTCGTTTGTAATTATATTTTATTAATTTTATAAATAATTTTGATTAATATATATTAAAATACTTCTTATATGTAAATATTTTATATGAAAAGCCTATCGGATATGACAACGGCTGGTATTCATTTGAAAGTCAGAGCCTTTCAGAAGTATGTGATGGATCTGATGGGATGGAAGTACAGCAAAATGTCTCAATCAATGACTACTGACGTAAATGACAGCAATATTAATGTAAATGATATGTTGATGGGTATTATACCCGCCCTAGTAGTCGGTTATGTTTTGTCACTAATTGTACTCATTATTGAAATGTCAAAATTATCTAGGTTGTCTTAATTTTGTAATCTTATGATTTCTTTCTGTATCCACATGAATACATTATCATTTATCTACTGGTTATAAGAATGATAATTTAATATTTAAAATAAAGTTTATAATTATTGTTATAAAAGTTATAATTTAACTATTGTAAAATGTATTCAAAATAATAATCACAATTATATGCGGCATATAATATGCCTTATATTGAGTTTTTTGTCTTATATTGAGTTATATGATTACTATTTACTTATATTTAATAAAATAGTTTAATATAGTTAATACCTAGTCTTAATATAGTTTAACTTGTTTTTATTGTAAAAGCATACAAAATATTTTTTAATGATGTTATTAATTATTATAATTATAACACATTAAGTGATAATAAATTCATAATAATATTCGGCAAAAAAATAATAAACTAAAAGAATTTATTCATTTCTAATAAATTAAATGTTTTAATACATGACATCATTATCAAACAATTAGTATCATTAATTGCTAATGATATGCAATACACAAATATAACATATAATTATACAGTATGTCGTGTAAACAACATTAGTAACAAAATTGTTGTCCATGTTCAAACATCTAGTTTGTGCGATACTTCCGTATTTGATCGCACCAAACATTATATTTAATCTTTCTACTCAATTTACCCTTTCTACATAACACAATTTATTTCACCACTTGATCACAATATGGCAACCATGCTGAAACCGGTAGTCAAGATGATTAACATGCTAAATCTGAGTGATAATTTCAAATGTACCCGACCTGATCCGGCGGTGATTACTGAGACAAATGTGACACTTGTCTCATTCAAAGCACACCATCAAATACCCACTAAAGTAACAAATATTTGTTTTGATATAAATATTTTAAATATTTCTTATCTTAACCGCAGATATCGTTGAATCTAATAATGCAGACTATTGTCGAGCATTTGTATTGCAAACTGAATGCCAGGATATTGTTTAAACATTTTAATAAAAGATTAAATTCAAATAATGTACATGTTTTAAAAACATAATTTAAAAATAAATAATTTATTTGTTTTGTATATTTTATAGACACAAAATGTGTTGACTATACCATCGTTTCTATACTTTATTGACACGCAATCCATGGATAAGATTATTAACAGTGAAGTCTTTCAGATGACATTTCTTACGGCAGACAAACTTAACGCTAAAAATTTATTTTTCTCATTTGTCACACTATTTGAATATATGGTATAAATGTTTTACCTGTTTTGAGGTTAAATAATGTTTAATTACTGTACAGGTGTGGTTTACCTTGTTTATTTCGATGGTAGTTAACGCTTATTATATTTCAAAATTATTCCAAAACTTGTCATTCATTATAGCTTTTGAAAAAATATACAGACATTTGTTATTTCAGCCTTCATTGTCCACTCGGCATAAATCACAATTAATTTCGTTATATTTAGCTATATGGCTCTTAAGTAGCCAGGTCATTACATACGCCCTATCGGGACAATTATTGAGCATTTACTGCAAACCAGACACCAGACCGTTAATCAATTCAATCGACGATATAGTAGCTAATCGTAAAATAAAAGTGTTAATAATGGACACAAACAAAATGAAATTTAAATCATTGTTACCCACAAAATATAATTTGTTGGAAAAACGATTTATACAGTTTACTATGTCTAAAATACACACTGGGAATGAGCAATTTCACAAATTAAATCAACGCATAACTCGGGAGCCGGTAGTCTATGCCTCGGATGAGAACAGCAATCGGGGGCTCATAAGTCTGACTCCAAGTCTACCCCTCGTCGTCGCTGAACACAAGTATGCGCTCACTTTTCAGGCGTATGGGGTCTCAAAATTACACACTTTCCACAAACAGATAACTCATATGTAATATAGCGTCAGAAAGTTTTAATTAAATGTTATTAATATATATTTTTATGAATAGTATATCGGGTCTAACCGGGGCTGGCATTGACATAAAAATTAAAGATTTTTCAAAGTTTGTAATGGATTTGATGGGCTGGCAGTATAGTCGCCAATTTGCTGAATCACCTGAATCTGGTGATAATATTGAGGTAAACCATATGCTGATGGGTATTATACCTGGTATCGCATTTGGGCATTGTTTGGCGTTTACGGCACTAATTATTGAAATAATCAAATTTAAACACATTGCAGGCCATCGGTTGTGGTTTTAATACACGTTTACGTTAGATTATTTTGCAGTTTAATTAATTTTATTTGTAATTAGCAAAGCCTTAATATGCATTCCGTTTAAGTAATTACAA